AAGATCAGCAATTAGTTTTTGCTAATCAGAATGTGAAGAGGGGTCGGCTTTGTGGCACAGTGAGTGAAGCCTCGGTTTGCAACTCTGGCATCCCAGATTGGAATGCCAGTTCAAGTCTGGGCTGTTCCACTTCTGATCCAGCTCCCTGATAATGCACTTGGGAAAGCAGCAGAAGATGGACCACGTCCTTGGGCCCCTACCGCCCATGTGGGAGAGTTCTAGCCTCCTGGCTTTGGCCTAAGCTCTGGCTGCCATGGCCATTTTGGGAATGAACAAGCAAATGGACGATTCTTTTTCTTTCCTTCTTTCCTCCCTCCCTCCCTCCCTCCCTTCCTTCTTCCTCTTTCTTCCTCTTTCTTTCTCTCTCTCTCTCTCTCTCTCTCTCTGCCTTTCAAACAAATAAGTAAATAAACAAATAAATATTTTAAAAAAAAGATGACAAGGGAGAAGAAAATGGATTCATTAAGGTTACAGAAACTCCTGCCCCAGTCTTATCCAGAGACCAAACTGTTTTATTCTGATTTTATGTCTGAAGACACACTTGCAAGTTTTATCGTTACCAATTTACCAATTTTGATTTCTACTTACCAGTGAACTGAGGAAAAGAATGGTTTTGGTTAAGTACGAACTCTGGAGTCAGAAAGACTTGCGTCCAAACCTTGGCTCTGTCATTTTGCCTTTTTTTTTTTTTTTTTTTTTTTTTTAAGATTCATTCATATGGGGCTGGCGCTGTGGCGCAGTGGGTTAACACCCACAGGCATCCCATATGGGCGCTGGTTCTAGTCCCGGCTGCTCCTCTTCCAATCCAGCTCTCTGCTATGGCCTGGGAAAGCAGTAGAAGATGGCCCAGGTACTTGGGCCCCTGCACCCATGTGGGAGACCTGGAGGAAGCTCCTGGCTCCTGGCTCCTGGCTTCAGATCAGCGCAGCTCCGACCATTGCAGGCAATTGAGGAATGAACCATTCAGATGGAAGACCTCTCTCTTTGCCTCTCTTCTCTCTGTGTAACTCTTTCGAATAAATAAATTAAAAAAATTCATTCATTTATTTGAAAAGCAGAGCTCTGCCACTTAGCTGTAAACAGTAATTTTTACCTCTGTGAGGCACCTCAGATGATGTTTTTTTCCTGGTTTGCTTATTTTTGGTTTGTAAAACCGAGATGGCAACAGAACTTCTATTGTAAGGTGGTTGTCATGGGTGGGTGGGTGGGAGCAGGAGTGGGTGGGGCAGCAGTTGAGATGCTGGTTGGGACCTCAGCTCAGCACCCCACATCAGAGGGCCTGGTTCAAGCCCCAGCGCCTCTGCTTTCAGTGCAGCTTCCTGCCGATGTGCTCCTGAGAGTCAGAGGTGATGGCTCAAATGTCTGGGTTCCTGCCGCACATCCGTGGGACCTGGGCAGAGTTCTGCGCTCCTGGCTTTGGACTGACTGAGCCTTGCCTGTTGCAGGCATTTAGGAGGTGAATCAATAGACGGAAAAAAATAATAGATAAATAAAAATTGGGGGCAGGTGTTGTGCTGTCATGGTTTAGGTCATTGCTTGAGAATCTTGGGTCTTGCACTTCTAACCCAGCTTCCTGCTGATGCATCTGGGAAGGCAGCGGATGATGGCCTAAGGACTTGAGCCCCTGCCACCCATGTGGGAGACCAGGGTGGAGTTCCTGGCTCCTGGCTTTGGCTTGGTTCAGCCCAGGTTGTTGTGGACATTTGGGAGTAAGCCAGTGGATGAAAGATCTCTTTTTCTCTGTCTCTCCCTCTCTCTCTGTCACTCTTTCACATAAATAAAAATAAATAAATCTTTAAAGATTTGATTGTGGTTGTGACAAATCAGTTAGGTAATGTATATTGTGGTTCTCAAAATGTGGTCTCCAGACCAATAGTATTAACTACCTGTGAATTAGTCCCACCCTCAAAATCTTGAATCATGCCCCAGGGACATGTTACAACACACCTGCCAGGGAATTCTGGAAACCCCTGGTGTGGTTGTAATGTGCTGGAGTTAGAGCCTGATACACAATAAACACTCAACGAGTGGTTTTAGCTGTCATCATTGTTGTTTGTTCTAGCACATTCCCCTTGAGTTGGATAGTATCTTTCCTCCCTCATGTCCTACAAATGCTGTATGTATTAGGATGGTCTGCTAATGCCGTCTCTCATCCACCCATCTGCCCTTTAATGAGGCAGAATCTTCTAGAAGTTGGGAGCTCACTGTCTGTCCTGGCAGGTTAAGCCCCAGGTCAAGTCCTGCCCATGCCCTTGTGCCAGCCGTGCATGCACTGGTAGGGCCTTCCCCAGGGGCCTCTTCTCCACCAGCCCCCCGCTGTGTGTAGTTTAGGTCTCTCCCAGGCTTCAGGACAGTTCTCCTGTATGCCTGAGCCTCGGGTGAGGCCTGACCAGCAGGGAGGGTTCCTTCTCTAAGTGGAGGCTGTGTTTCAACTTGTTTGCCTGGTGTTTTGGCAGCCGCCCCTGCTGACTCACTCTGGTCTGAGGTCAACCAAAAGCCCCAGGCCTTTTTCTCAGGAACTGCTGGGTGCTCTGGTTGGGCGGGTCACCCCAGGCCTTGACGTGTAGGACTCATTTCTTAAAAATAACATTACTTTCAAATTATAAAAGTGATACAAGCTTTTTTTTTTTTTTTTTTGTGATACATACTTGATACAGTAAGTTTGGAAAACAAAAAGAGAAAAAGCTCACTCACTGTAATGGTAATTTAAAAATTGATTTCAAAAATGATCCTACATTTCTGTACTCAAGAAGAAAACCCACAAGCAAGCAATTTCTATTTCTGGGAGTAGAAACGAATAAGAGAAAGCAAAACAATGTACACTAAGGATAATTGTGAATTCTAACATATATGGTACCTCTTGTCTGGTAATTCAGAGGTCAAAATCACAACATGAGCTCATGCCCCAGAGACTTCCACAGTCAATGTTTTGGGTATAGCTCTTGGGATTTTACAGTAAGCATTGTCTTGTTTTTAGGTTTGTCTTTATTTATTTTCATTTTATTTGAAAGGCAGTGAGAAAGAGAGGCAGATCTTTCAACCAACGAGTTTTCTGATCTTACTCCTCCAATGCCTGCAACAGCCAGGGCTGGGCCAGGATGAAGCCAAGAGCCCACAACCTCATCCAGGTCTCCCACGCGGGTGGCAGCCACCTGAGTACTTGAGCCATCACCCACTACCTCCCCAGGTGCATGTCGGCAGATGCTGGGTGGAAGCAGAGGAGCTGGAACAGGAACCGGGCGCTCCATTACCTTCAGCTTACCCCTGCGCCGCAGCACCTGCCCTGCCCGTCTTTCTACCACATCATCAGACACACACTGCTGGGCCCCACTACACTCTAAGCTCCACCTTGCTTAGCGCGGTGGACACGTCTCTGTCCTCAGGGTCCCACAAGAGGGTGTGACCTTATGTGGTTGTAGGATTGTAGAGTGAGAGCCAGAGTCGGCAGCTGGATAAGAATTTGTTGAAGGAATGAATGAGCAAACCTCGGTGAGACTGAATGCTTGCAGGGATGTACGTGTGTGAGCCGGTCGATAAAGCAGCCGTCGCCTGCCAGCCCAGGCCTCTTCCAGCGCCTTATCGGGCATGGGGGCGGGGCTCCTGCGTGATCGAGCTGGGTCCAGAGGCCCCACTCCTTACTTCCGGAGCGTCTGGGGGCGGGGCTTTTCGAGACCTAGGGTGAAGGGAGCCTCAGGTGCCGGGGCAGAGCGGGAGGGGTTGCAGGCTTGCCCCCTAGGCCGGGATCCCGACCCCCACTCAGCTAAGCTGGTTTCCAGCTATGGTTGCACAAACTTGGCTCCCTCGGCCAGCGGCCCTCTCGCGGAGGCAGCAGCCGGCATGCAGCTGAGTCCAGGTCCCTTCCTGGCAGGTGCTCCTGCAGCCAGACCTGACCCCAGCTGTTTAGCTGCTTGCTGTGTGACCTTGGCCAGCACCGGTCTCCTCCTGCAGCCTCAGTTTCCCGCGATTGGAAGAAGTCTTAACTGCCTCCCAGGCAACCTCCAAAAAAGTCTGCGAAGGCGAAGCAAAAACGAAACCCTGAAATTCAGTACCTTTCTGAGTCCACTGAGCAGCCCCTCATGTGGCGCCGAAGGCTCAGAGAGAGAAAAGCTGTTCCCAGCCCAGTCTTCAGTTTCTGTACCCGGAAAACAAGGCGCTGGTACTCAGCATCTCCAACCTCCCGGCCCCTCTGAGGCTTCGGCCAGCTGTTGTATGCAAAGTGCCTGGCAGGGCTTGGGAGCAAGTCACTCTCCCTCTCAGAGGCCTAGCTTCAGGCCCAGCCCTTCCAGACCCAACAGCCCCCCCCCATCTGTGGCTGCGGCTGAGATGGGAGGGGCTCCTGGGACATTCCTGAGCCTGGCGTGTCCAGAGCTCCAGGAGCCCCTGTGAGAAAACTCTGCTGGGAAGCTGGCTGGTGTAGGGGCCTGGGGAAGGGAGTTTTTAGAGAAGGAAATGCTTGTGGTGAGACAGAATGATGGAGCAACTTCTCGGGGATCTGGGCGGAAAGCCCCTGGCTCCTGGTGCGTTCCCATGGGGGGACGCGGGGCGGGGGACACTGCGGTCCCGCCCAGCCGCTCTCTCCTCCAGAGGGCACCTGCTGTTCATCGCATGCTGCAGCCACACAGCTGAAACCTCCCATCAGCTGCTTGCCATCCTGTCCCTGGGCCTCAGAACCTCCCTCTCCCTGGAGCAGGTACCAGGGGCACCCCAAGGCTGGGCCCACCAATCAGGCCTGGGTGGCAGGGGAACAGACGAGGGGGCTGAGTAGCCTGGGCGCCAGCTCCTGACGTGCAGGTGACAGAGGAGAGCCTTTTCCCAATTCGAGAGAGAATAAAGTTGATCTGACTTTGCAGTGATGTGATCTTGAACACAAGACACTGTGGCCCAGCCATGAGTTTCTTTCTTTCTTTCTTTCTTTCTTTCTTTCTTTCTTTCTTTCTTTCTTTCTTTCTTTCTCTCTCTCTCTTTCTTTCTTTCTTTCTCTTTCTTTCTCTTTCTTTCTCTTTCTTTCTCTTTCTTTCTTTCTTTCTTTCTTTCTTTCTTTCTTTCTTTCTTTCTTTCTTTCTTTCTTTCTTTCTTTCTTTCTTTCTTTCTTTCTTTCTTTCTTTCTTTCTTATATTTACTTATTTATTCTAAAGGCAGAGGCAGAGAGAGAGAGAGGTCTTCCATCCATTGGGTCACTTCCCAAATGGCTACAATGGCCAGAGCTGTGCTGATCTGAAGCCAGGAGCCAGGAGCTTCTTCCGGGTCTCCCACACGGGTGCAGGGGCCCAAGGACTTGGGCCATCTTCCACTGCTTTCCCAGGCCATAGCAGAGAGCCGGATCAGAAGTGCAGCAGCCTGGACTTGAACCAGCACCCATATGGGATGCCGGCACCACAGATGGCACCTTTACCCTCTATGCCGGCCCACAGCCATGCATTTTATAAACTCTGGGCTGTTGGTAGAGAGGCCCTGTGGAGGGCTGAAAAACACCAGGCTGCTTGGAGGGCTCGCTCACTGCTCACGGAGCCGCTAGGAGGAGACCAAGGCTCCTGTGCTCCCACTTCCTCAGCACTGGGTTAGGGTCAATCTTTCCTTCTCTGTGTGAGGGGAGTGCGGGTGAGCTTTGGGGGCTCTGGGCCCATGATTCTGCTGGCCAGCGCCGACCGTGAGCAAGCTGCTCCACCTCTTGGCATTGAGGTTTTCCCATCTGAAAGTGGGTGCCGTACCCTTCCTCGGCGCTGCTGAGCTCACACAGCAGGGATCAGCACAGAAGAATTTTGGACGAGAAGGAAAGTCAACACAGACATGGGCGTGGTGCGGCCTCATCTTCCCCGGCTCCTCGAGGAGTGTGGTGTATCCTGCCCTCCCCTCAAAACCCTCTGCCCCTTCTTTGCTCTCTAACACAGGCCAAGAACCGTCCTCAGACGAATCTTGTACTTTTTACTCCTGAGTTCAAGGTCCCGGCTGTGGTTGTCGTCTCCCCGGCAGACGTGTTCCCCTTGCACTGTTCTCCACGTCGGACGCCCTCCGTGTACCAGGGAGCTGACACCCGGCACCTGGATCTGCAGCCCCTCTTCTCTCAGCGCCCGCATTCGAAGGAGCCGTAAGTCACGAAGATCCTGTTCTCTGAGACTCTGTCTTCCGTCTGCCTCCCGTGTGCCCCAGGACCTGGTGGAACAAGCAGGGATGGTTGTGAATGGCCACTCATCTGCTCTAGGTAGGCCCTCTGCTGACCCTGGATCTGCAGGCCTGCTGACTCCCAGGCCGGCTGGGAGGAGGGGGTCACGACCCACGACCTGGACGTGTCTCCTCACTTTCTTCACAGCTTTTGTTTTTAAAGTCCGACTCTTCTATTTCCCAACTGTTGTTTTATTTGTTATTTGAAAGGAAGAGTGATAGAGAGGAAGAGACAAAGAGCTTCTGTCTGCTGGTTCACTCCCTCCCCAAATGCCCACAACAGCTGGAGCTGGGCCAGGCTGGAACCAGGAGCCAAGAACCCCATAGGGTTTCCTACATGGGTGGGCAGGGACCCAAGTACTTGAACCATCAACTGTGGCTCCTCGGGCTGTGTATTAGCAGGAAGCTGGATCGGAAGAAGAATGGATGGGACTTGAACCAGGCCCAATGTTACAGGACGTGGGTGTCCCACTGGTGGCTTACCCTGCTGTGCCCCTTCCCTTACATCTTCAGCCCCCACACAGTAGCACCTAGTAAGGCCTAGAAACATGGCTGAAGGAGAACGGGGCTGAGTGACTGCAGGAAGCCCTTTCCCTCTCCGAGCCTCTGTTTCGCCACCTGCATAATGGTATGGACTTGACCTGAGGAAGGGAGGGTTGGAGGCTACTCTAGTTCCAAGAGTCTTAGAAACATTGGTAGGTAGGTGAGGGAGCAGGTGGAGAGGGGAGACAGAGGCACAGCTGCTCAGTTGCCTGCCTGAGGGCCGGAGGTCCTGCTCCTGCCCAGGCCGCCTGCATGGCCCGTTCCTTCAAAAGCTCAGCCCCTTGCTTGCTTCTCTCCTCCCAAGAGGGTGCAAAGCCTTTTGTGAGATGTCACCTACAACAGGCTGCTTAGCACCTTCCCCAAGCCCTCTGGCTTATCTGGCTGGCCCCTGGCCTACCCTGGCTGGGGACTGGCTGCTGCTGTCCAGCTGGCACAGCCCCAGAGGCCGGGCTGCGGAAGGAGAGCCCTGGGTCTCTGCCCGGTGGCAGCTGCTGCAGACAGACCTGGATTCGATTCCCAGCTCTGCCACTTTGTTAGCTGTGAGGCTGTGAGGGCTGCACCTGACTGGGTCACAGAGATCCCAGATAACTTCAGACACGGACCGGCACGAAGACACTGTGGGTACCCTGGGCCGCAGCTTGCCGATTCACCCTGCCGATCCATCACGGGACTCGCTGGCCTCTGTAATTGCGTGTTGTGTGCTGGTTCTGTTTCCCTGACTAATACAGAGACCTTGGGAAATTTGCTGAGCTTCTATTTTGAAATCTGTAAGAAGTGTAAGCAGTAATTCTTAGCACAAGTGCTATTTCCCTGCTCTGGCATTCCCAGAATTCACCAAGAGCAACTCCGCCTTTTCTTTGTAGCTTTGCAGGGTGATTCCCTGGCTGCCCTGGCCAGCCTTGCGAAGACTCATTTCCCCCATTACCGACTGTACACTCAGCTGATGCCGCTCCTCCCCACCCCCAAGCCTTCGCATGAGCTGTTCCTTCTTCCTCCACCTGTAAACTCTCACGCACCCCTCAGGGGCCTTCCCGGACTCCCCCAGGAGCCGGCTGTGCCTTCACAAGGCTGGGCACCCTCCTTGGCTTCTGAGTTATTCATGCCGCGCTGTGGTTGTGGGGCTGTGTGTCTGCCTCCCCTGTCCCCCAGGCTGGGAGTCCCCTGAAGCCCCCTGACTCACTCATGTCTGTACACCAGGACCACAGAGTGGGGGGCTTCCCCCTTCTCTCTGCTGCTGCAGGGTTTCCCAGCAGAGGGCTTTCAGGCCCACATCCACGGTCTCAGCGACACAGCAAGGCCAGCAGGCTGAGCCAGGGTTGGGGCTGCCATGTCCCATTCCACCTCCCTGGAGAGGGCTTGTTCAGAAAAGTCAACTCTGGGCAGGGGCAGGGTGGGTTTTTAGCTTCTGTGGCCTCCAACTCAGTCAGAGCTGTGGGTCGTTGGGCCATTGGGCTTGGCAGAGGCTGCAGGGGCAGGGGGCGGGCACAGGAAGGGCTCAGGTCTTGAGTGGGCAGGAAAGGGTCCTTCCCTCCATGGCCCTGGGCAGCTTCATTTCTCCTCCTTCTCTCAGCTCTTATAGAAAATAGCTCTGAGGGTCAGTGGGATGCTCGAGCCAATGAAGGGATGAGGGAAAGAGACCGAAGAAACTGACAGCAAATCAAATTGTGTCTCCAGATACACTCAGCCAGTTCAACCTTTTTGACAAGGGGCTTGCTAATACTAGAACCCTTTTGCCTGAATCCAGAGTGTCCCCAAACTCTTCAAGGGTACCCAAAGATCCTCTCCCTAAAGGCCTAGAGGTCCCCCCACTGAGACCTAGAGGACCTCGAACTGGGTCGATACCCACTTAGGGTCCAAAGATGCTTCCTCCAATTGGAGGGCTTGGTGCTTTTCCACAGCTTACAGTCTCTCTGGTGATGGCACCCACACCCCCTAGATAGCACAGAGGAGAGACCCACACTGCCTGCTCCGGCTGGGGCTCGGGACTCCGCTCCGTGCAAACACAGCCCCTCAAGGGCAGAGGGAACCACGGGCCGAGTGCCTGCTGTGAGCTCTGGGCTGCCGGCACTGGGAAATCAGCTGTTTGGGACCCCGGGGTACCCACATGCTCAAGACAGGGCTGTCCCCAAGCGGAAGCTTTCTTTAAAGCTTCTCTCTTCTCTCTCCAGGAAGCTGCATCCCAGGAAAGTCCCTCGGATCTCTGTCATTCCCAGATCGGCCTGACCCAAGGCAGAGATGGGAAAGACAGCAGCCACCTTCCTGTTCTCCCCGGGCGATCTCCAAGCCCAGAGAGGAGGGTTCTTGGCCTGGCTCTGATGGTCTGTGTGCACATGGATGGATGGCTAAGACTTCTGTATTTCACTTTGCGTTTCGGTTTGCCAAAGAGTGGGGCCAGTGGGCTCTGCCACACACAGGATTCAGCAGGATCAGAGATATGGATTTTCGTTGCTGTTGACATTTCAATGATGAGAATGAGAACACTGGTGGGAGGGACTGTGCAGTGGGGGGGCTGGAGTTGAGGCAGAGCAGGGAAGTGGCCCTGGGTTCCCCTCACTGAGGACAGAACTCACAGTCATCGTGACTGTGACATTTTCCCACTGCTGTTTCAGGTAGCGGGAACCCCGCGTCCCCAGGGAAAGCATCACTTTTTGGGGGATACCCTCGCTGTCTGCCTGGAAGGCCAACTTCCTGTTACAGCCTTCTCCAGCTACCTGAATTTTCCTAAACAGGTAACACCATAGTAACAATTGGTGTGGCCTGGCCGTGTCTCCCCAGCGGAAGTCAGGACTGGCCCTTCCTCAGAGGCCGAGGCGGGGGGGGGGGGGGGGGGGAGGCTGGCTCAGAGGCGCTCAGTAGCAGTTTTGCTACCATCTTGTAGGTTCTCTGAGTGCCAGCTGCTCACCAGGCTCCTGGGGGAGCCTAGAAGATAGAAGCCGTGGCCTGCAGGTGTGAGGGGTTGGATGAATGGACTGCTCTGGGAAGAGCTTCATCTCAGACTACAGGAGTGGAATGCCCTGATCAAGACGGTCCAGCGTGAACTTTGGCCTCCAGGGAACAGAGGAAGTGGTGTGGGTCAAGCTGGAACTCCAGAGGCTAGGGGCCTTCCCCGTGCTGGGCACTGCCACTCTTTCTTTCTTTCTTCCTTTTTTTATTTGTTTATTTGAAAGGCAGAGTATCAGAGAGAGAGGGCGAGAGAGAGAGAGAGAGAGAGAGACTGGCCTTCCACTTGCTGGTTCACTGGCTGGAACAGCCAATGCTGAAACAGACCAAAGCCTAGAACTCCATCCGGGTCTCCCATGTGGGTGGCAAGGGCCCAAGCACTTGGGCCATCACTGCCGCATCCCAGGTGCATTAGCAGGGAGCTGGATCAGAAGCGGAGCAGCCAGGATTCCGACCTGAACTCCCATGTGGGATGTTGCTGACATTTGTGGTAGCTTAATCCACTGTCGGAGCACTGGCCCCACGCGCTCCCCCTTGGAGCCTGTAGTGTAGCTCAGGAACCGGTGTTGAAGTCAGCCTCTGCCGCCTCCCACCTGCCCCTTCGCTTCCATCTCCTGGCGCTCGCACACTCTCCTCCCCACACCTGCCACAGGGAGCTCACGCTTCCCTCGACAGCCTGAGTGTTCCCTGCCTGCCGGCCTCTGCACGGGGCGTGCCCTCTCTCGGAAGGCACATCCCCTTTTCTACCAGGAAAATGCAGGACTCAACTGAGCTGCACATTCTTCCTCCTGGGAAGCCTCCCAGGCCCCTGCTTGGAGCCCTGCGGCCCCTGGACATCCTTCTCTCCACGCAGTGGTGTACTGACCACACTCAGAGGCTGTGCTGCTTTTCCTTTGTTCCCCTCGGCCATAGCCAACCAGAAGCTTCTGGAAGGCGGGGATCCACTCAGTTCCTCTCTGTGGCCCCAGTGTCCAGCAGGGCCTGGCTCCAAGGAGAGATCTTGCATAACCTGGCACCTGGGTTCTGGGCAAGAGACACTATTCGGTTGTATCTCAAATGATCAGCCTGGCTTAGGCAACGTTTAAGAGGAAGGTCAAGGACAGGGCTGATCTTATTTATTTACCTTCCAGGAAACGGAGGCCCACGAAGAGGTAGGGATCTGCCCAAGGTCCTACAGCACGTCAGTCACCAGGGGTCCTGATGCCTGGTCCCCAGCACATGAAGCCAGGGCCGAGAGGCTGCAGGAGCCCAGGGCCTGCCACTGCTCACTGCAGCCTGGTTCAGTCCCTCTGGCCGGGCTCTCAGCCAACAGCAGCATGAGGCTCAGGCTGCCCCTGCCAAAGGTTGTGCTGTCAGCAGTCTGGGGGAGGTGACCAGGCCACTTCCCTGTGGGCAGCTGAGACCCAGCAAGACTTGGAGCAGAGCCTGCACAAGACCATGGGCTCTGGGGACAGTCTCCAGACAGACAGCGCCCTCCTTGACAACCGGATTAGAACCTGATTAGACTTGAGGTTAACAGTCTGGAGTGCACGGAGCAGAGCCCAGCGTGGGATATGTGCTCAATGAACGGGCATCTGCATAGCACCGTTATTGCTACTGTGATGCAGAGGAAAGCCCACACAGTTCAGTGGCTAAACACACTGACCCTGCGGGTGTCAATAACACACATTCAGGCTGCATCACTTACCAAGTTATGCACGCTTTTAAAATATTTTTTTAAAAATATTTTATTTATTTGAAAGGCAGAGTTACAGAGAGGAGAGAGACAGAGAGATCTACCATCTGCTGGGTCACTCCCCAAATGGCCGCAACAATCAGAACTGGGTGAGGCCAAAGCCAGGAGCCAGGAGTTCCATCCAGGTGTCCCACATGGGTGCAGGGGCTCGAGTACTTAGACCATCTTTTGCTGCCTTTATAGGTGCATTGGCAGGGAGCTCGATCAGAAGTGGAGTAGCCGGGGCCGGCATGTGGAATGCCGGCAGCACAGGCAGTGGCTGAACTCGCTATGCCACAGCGCTGGCCCCTGTTTTGTATCTTTAAAAAGAGGGAGCAGGCATTTAGCACAGTGGTTAAGGTGCCAGTGTCCCAAATGAGAGTAGGAGTACCTGGGTTCAATTCCCAGCTCCAGCTCCTAATTCCAGCTTCCTGCTGGTGCAAACCCTGGGAGGCAGCGGTGCTGGCTCAAGTGGGTCCTTGCCACCCATTTGGGTGACCTGGATTGAGTTCCTTACTCCTGGCTTTGGCTTGGCCCAGCCCTGGCTGATGTGCACATTTGGGGAGTAAGCCAGTAAACAGGAGCTCTCTCCCTGGGCCTTTCACTGCTTTCAAATAAATATGTTAATTTTTATAAAGGGGTGGGCATTTGACGCATCAGTTAAGACACTGCTTGGGATGCCAGCATCCCACATTGGAATCTCCAGGTTTGCGTCCTGGCTCCCCTTCCCATCCAGCTTCCTGTTAATGTGCAACAGGGGGAGGGGGCTGTTGCTGTGATGGGTAAAGTTGCCACCTGCAGTACCTGCATCCCATACGGGTGCTGGTTCGAGTCCTGGCTGCTCCACTTCGGATCCAGCTCTCTGCTATGGCCTGGGAAAGCGGTATAAGATGGCCCAAGTGCTTGGACCTCTGCGCCCATGGGGGAGACCCGGAGGAAGCTACTGTCTCCTGGCTTTGGATCAGCTCCAGCCATTGTAGTCATCTGGGGATTGAACCAGCGGATGGAAGACCCCCCCACCCCCACCTCTCTGTAACTCTGCCCTTCAAATAAATAAATAAATCTAAAAAGATGTGCAACTGGGAGGCAGCAGGGGATGGTCTGAATACTTGGGTACCTGCCACCTACATGGGATATCCTGATTGAGTCCTGGGCTCCTGGCTTCAACCTGGCTCAATCCTGGCTGTTGTGGGCATTTAGGGAGTGAACCAGCAGATGGGAGCTTTCTCTCTCTCTGCTCTTCAAGTAGATAAAAAATAAATATATAAGCATTTTTTAAAGCAGGAGGGGACATGGGGGAAGCTGAGCAAGAATTTGTGGGTGGTGAAAGAGGGAATGGCACCAGCTCCTGCAGGGCACGGAGCGTGGAGAAGCAGAGCACGTGCCAGGCACAAGGCACCTGCGTGCGGCTGGAACAGGAGAGGAGTGGCTGGTGGCCGAGAGAAGGGCTGGGGAGGCGAAAGCAGACCCTAGCCTTATGCTAAGGAGTGTGCACGTGTTCTCGAGCTAAGTACTGAAGCTTTCCAAGCAGGGAAGGATGATGTGATCGGTTAGTGCTTGTCATGGAATGGAGAGAGGATCAGAGCGGAGCAGCTGGACTCAAACCAGGCACTCAGATCTCAACCAGCAGCTTCGCCCCGCTGCCCGGCAAGGCTCAGCCTAGTAGTCGCCCCTTGTCTGAAGTCTCAATTCCCTGAGGCCAACCAAGCTTGGAAAATATTAAATGGAAAATTCCAGAAACATTCAAGTCATAAGTCTTAAGTAACTTTCATGTGGTACATTGTTATATTGTTCTGTTTTATTATTGAAGTTGTCAATTACTATTTGCTATTAATATCTTACTCTTCCTAATTAATAAGCTAAACTTCTTTGGCATATACATACTGGGGGGAGGGCTCGCTATTATCCGGGGTTTCAGGTATCCCCTGGGGGACTTGGAGCAGTCCCTGCTCAGTTAAAGGGGGGCCGAGTGGAGCCGCTCTCGCTCTCTCTGGGTCCTTGCATCCCAGCGTGCATCCCACACTGCAATGAGCTGCTCACATGTGAACTCTGGGCACGATGCTTCCAGGATTGGGCTGTTCCCCATGCTGCTGCTGCTGTTTTTAGATTTTATTAATTTGAAAGGCAGAGTTACAGAGAGAGAGGGAGAGGGGGACGGAGAGAGAGGTCTTCCATCCACTGGTTCACTCCCTAAATGGCCACAGCAGCCAGGGCTGGGCCAGGCCAAAGCCAGGAACCAGGAGCTTTTGGGTGTCAGGGGCCCAAACACTCAGGCCATCTTACACTGCTTTCCCAGGCCGTAGCAGAGAGCTGGATTGGAAGTGAAGCAGCCGGGACTCGAAGTGGCGTCCATATGGGATGCTGGTGTCATATGTGGTGGTTTAACCCACTACACCACAGCGCCAGCCCCTCCCCCACGATTCTGATATCCTCTGTGCCTGACTTGACACCAGCAGCCCTGTGGCAGAGGCTCGGTGTCTGCAGAAGTAGAGCCCAAACTTCCTCTGCAGAGCCACAGCTCTGCTCAGTCCCCCTGCTGGACACTGGGAAGTGGTGGGGGAGGCCTAGGAGATGAGACCTCCTGGCGGCTTGGGAGGTAGGAGTCTGCCCGTTTACAAATGGAAAAGAGTTGCGGGCCAGGAGACAAGGTAAGGGTTGCCAGGCGGGTGTGGAGAGGAAGAAGCAGCTGGAACTGACTTCTGAGACCCCCGGGTGGCTCTGTTTTCCCAGGGTGTAAAACGTAAGGAAGAAGAGAAGCAAATAGGCCCCGGGCGGCAGGCTGGGGAGCTTAGACTAGGGTGTCGCGAAGGCCCTCTGCGGTCCCCTGCACTTGGCCTGGTGGGGGTGGTTTCAGGGCAACCTCTTTGTTTCCCCTGGGAGCAGTGTGGGCTTAGGTACAAACATAGCACGGAGAGGCGGCCCAGATGAGACACAGTTAATTATTTGACACGGCTTATCTGATTCCCGCAACACTTGCGCCCCTGCCTGCTGCCTGGCAGAGACAACTCATCCTCCAGGGTGTGGCCAGGTGTGCCCTAGCCAGGGGCCTTCCCTCAGCTAAGCTTCCCGAGCCAAGCTGCCCACTCGCTGCTCTGCGCCCACTGCTCTCCGTGTGTCTGTCAAATTGTACGTCTGTCTCCCCAGCTAGACGGGGAGGTCCCGGGCACGGGCACTGCCCTGTTCATCAAAGACAACTGTGAACTTGTTGAGTCCACGAATGTGGCAGGTATGATCGCGTCTATTTTGCAAAGGGGCAAACACACACACCAGGGTCTGAGGGGTACCTTAAGGCTGCCTTTTAAGGGGCAGCCGCAGGAGCGAGGCCAGGTTGTGGGACGCCATGTGCTGGGCAGGGAAGGCACACGGTTTCAGCTGGCCAAGGGCAGAGCCTGGGACACAAAGGAATTGTGCTTCAGTTCTGAGCCCCGCTGCCCCGCACAGCTGAGGAAGGCAAACACACAGAGAGCAGCCACGGAGTGACGTCCCAGCACAGGGCGTTGTCACACTGGGGGCCATGTTTAATCTTTGACGGTGGCACCATTATTCCCCTCTGTGCAACACAGGAAGCCGAAACTCACAGAAGGGACTTGTCCATCACTTCCCAGTCGAGGAGAAGCAGGCCAGGATCTGAACTCCAGTCAAGGGAAGACCTGGGCCGGCTGCTGTGGTGCAGCGGGGTGTGCCGCTGCTCAGAATGCCCACGTTCCCACGTCAGAGTGCCTGGTCGGAGTCCCAGCTACTCTGCTGCCAGTCCAGCTTCCTGCTTATGTGCCTGGGAGACAGCGGATTATGGCCAAAGTGTTTGGGTTCCTGCCGTCCACATGGAAGACCTGGGTGGAGTTCCTAGCTCTTGGCTCCAGGTGGCCCAGTCCCGGATCTTGTAGCCATTTGGAGAGTGAACCAGCTGATGCATGTGCATCCTCTCACGCTGTCCCTCTGGCTTTCAAGTAAGCAAAGGGAGCAGGGGGTGGGGGATGGGAGATCTGGTGTGGCTTTTGGATAGGCCTAGGGAGCCGCGTCCCGGGACTGTGTCCTCTGCCAGATGGAGGGCCGCGTGGGCCCAGGGCAGCCTGTCATTCCCGTTGCTCTCCTGCTCTTGCCCGGAGCATGTGAACGAGCTCTGACGTGGCTCCAGCCAAGCCCACTCCCGTGCCAGCCTGAGGCAGAAACTGGGGAGATACAGTGGCCCCGGGCGTCAGGGAGAGCGAGAGGGAGCCGGCAGCACCCTGACCAAGAGGGACTCTCGCCACCTCCAACCCAAGGTCACGGCAACTTCCATTTCTTTTTGTCTCTCGGCTGTTCTGAAGGGAAGCAGTGTGCACTGGGGTGGGAGAGGAGACCCCGAGGGCCTGCTGGGCCTGCAGGCAGCGCCGCCTCCCAGCCCACAGATCCAGTGAGGGCCCCCTGTGTGCACAGACCACGCCTTGTGGCTCTGCCCTGTGCTGGAGCTCCACCAAGGGCCCTGAGAGGCAGGCACTGTAACTGCCCATTCCACAGATGAGGCAAATGGAGTTCAGAGAGGCGGCGACTTCACCCAGGTCACACAGAAGCTGGGGTCTGAGCTCCGTCTGGCTCCAGAGCCAACAGTGTTCTTTTAGCCACATCATTGTGGGAGTCCAGACTTCCGGGTTCTGAACCCAGCTGCTTCCGTGGGTTTCTCCCAACCTCCCTGGGCCTGTTTCTTCCCGTGTGCAGCGAGAGATTCGCTCGGGAAAATGTCTGAGGGCCCTAGCAGTCTAAGATGTCCTCGTCGCCCAGGGCTCCCCAAGGCAGCCACCAAGGGACCTGCTCTGTCACCCAGCCCTGAAGACAGAACGTTGAAGTTCGGTTCTTGTGAGGAGAAATCCAGTGGGGAGACAGTGCCGTCCTCACGCCCGAGCAGCTTGGCGTTACCCGTGCCGTGGGGAGGCAGGATTTGGACAGCTGGGGTGGAGAGGGAATTCAGGATAGAGAGAAGGAACAAAGGCTGAGAGGGGAGACTGGCCCCTGGCTTCGCGGGCCTCCCTACCTCCGTGATGCTTGGCGGAGGCTGGGCCACGCACACCTCACCACGGCCCACTGCACGCACCAGCATCATGGCTCCAGAGCCAGACAGGGTGGGCGCAAGTCCTGACTGCAGCGTTTGCCGTGTGAGCCCTGGGTTTCGGTTTCTCATCTGTGAAACGAGGCTGAGGATGACAGGGCCTTGCAGGTGGTTAAAGGGTTGAGACGATGCATGGGGAGGGGTCAGCACGAGGTCTGGCGCCTGGGAAAGGCTCAGTGCCTCTCCGAGAGATGTCCTTCCCTCCTCTCCATCTCCCCACTGCCCAGATCCCTCACTTCTCGCGGTTGGCTGTCTCTCCTAAGCTGCTTTTCTGCCTGCTGCAGGCCCTTGGTGCTCCTCCGAACTCCTGCAGCGCTGGGCTCTCAGTGTGCTCACTGAGCCGCATCCTATCAGTCACCTGCCCAGGATCCAGGCTGCTTCCCGCCTCCCCAAAGCCTCAGTTCCCAAACGGAAACCATGTAGTTCCAGGGAAGCTGATTTACCTATGCCCAGCCCCTCTGCTCTGTACGCCCGATTCTAAGAGAGAAGTTGAATGATTTTGTTTGGCTTACCAAGAGATAGATTTCTTCACATATCTATTGGTTGGGCCCATGCTACAGGCCAAGCACTCTGTTGGGTGCTAAGGGTTTAGCAGTGAAAGGTACTATTACGGTCTTACTCTCATCAGGGAGCTTACTGTGAAGAGAATTAGGGGTTGAAATGCCTGCTTTGGGGGCTAGCTCTGGAGTTGTATTTGAACTGCTAAGCTTCAGGGCTGGTGCTGTGGCATAGCAGGCTAAGCTTCCTCCTGCGGTGCCAGCATCCCATGGGGGAGCCAGTTCGAGTCTAGGCTGAGCCACTCCACTTCTGATCCATCTCTCTACTAATAGCCTGGGAAAGCAGTAGAAGATGGCCCAAGTGCTTGGGCCTCTGCATCCACAGGGGAGACCAGGAAGAAGCTCTTGTCTCCTAGCTTCAGTTTGGCCCAGCTCTCACCATTGCAGCTATCTGGGGAGTGAACCAGCAGATGGAAGACCTCTCTGTCTCTCCCTCTGCCTGTAACTCTCACTCTCAAATAAATCAACCTCGAAAAACAAAAAACAAAAAACAAAAAACCAACCTGCTGAGCTCCCATCCTTGTTCCTTTGGACAGCAGAACACTGCCTTTTCCTTGGGAAGCCGTCCAAAGGCCTGGTCAGTTAACCTATGCGTGGCCAATGGAGTCGCTCCAGCGACTCATTCAGCCCCGAGACTACAAGCTTGGAAGGTCCTGTCTTCGCGCTGTGGTAACCGGGTGGGAAACATAAGCCTCGTGTGTCTGTGAGCTGAACAAGAATGCTAATGTGAGCTAATCTCAGCGTTGGTAGCAATACACTTCTCTGACATGACCATTCATTTAACCAGGCATTGTCAGTCTCTCTCTCCTCTGTTGATGAGGAAAGAGAGATGAAAGAGACTAAACTGCATTAGCAAATCTTTTTCAGTTAGAGACTCACGGTCCTTCCTTTTGAGCTCAGTCTACAGAGGAAGACAAATGAGTAAGTACAGGCACTCTAGGAGTGATCAGAGGGTACCTAGTGACCCTGGAGGCGTCAGCTTTGCTGCTTTTAAGTTATGCAGCACAGGGAGCAGGTGTTTGGCCTAGAGGTTCAGACGTTTGTGTCCCAGATTGGAGTGCCTGGGTCTGATTCCTGGCTATGGCTCTTGACTCAAGCTTCCTGTTAACGCAAGACCCTGGGTGGGGGGGCATGGTGATGGCCCAAGAACCTGGGCTCCTGCCGGTCACGTGGAAGACCGAGTCCCAGGCAGCCATTGCAGGTATTTATGGAGTAAACCAGAAGATGGAGAGCTCTGCCTTTCAAAAATTTTAAAAATGAAGTGACACATGGAACATGGAAAAACTGGATGACACATTATTTTAAATAAAAATCTCCATGATCCCCACCACTCATGATCATAGTTAAGATTTTCATCATAACCTTCTGATACTTTTCTAGGCGTAAACACTTTTTAAAAGCTCACTGTAAAACATGCATAAATGGCTCAATCTTGGAATAAGAAAAAAGGACATTAGTGGCAAAACTGGTGAAAGCCAAACAGAGGGGTTGGGTGCTATGGCAGAGCAGGTTAGGCTGCAGCCTGCAGTGCCAGCATCCCATACGGGCGCCAGTTCGAGACCTGGCTGCTTCACTTCCTATCCTCTCTCTGCTAAGGCCTGGGAAAGCAGTAGAAGGTGGCCCAGGTCCTTGGGCTCCAGCACCCACATGGGAGATCTGGAAGCTCCTGGCTTTGGATCAGCACAGTTCTGGCTGTTATGGCCATCTGGAGAGTGAACCAGTGGAAGGAAGACCTCTCTCTCTCTCCCTCTCTCTGCCTCTGTAACTCTGCCTTTCAAATAAATAAATAAATCTTAAAAAAAAAAAAAAAAAGCCAGAGAGTCTACTACGTACCGATGTTAAATCTTTTAGATTTTGGCCGGCACCATGGCTCACTAGGCTAATCCTCCACCTGCGGTGCCGGCACCCCAGGTTCTAGTCCCGGTTGGGATGCTGGATTCTGTCCCGGTTGCCCCTCTTCCAGTCCAGCTCTCTGCTGTGGCCCGGGAGTGCAGTGGAGGATGGCCCAAGTGCTTGGGCCCTGCACCCCATGGGAGACCAGGAGAAGCACCTGGCTCCTGGCTTTGGATCGGCGTGGTGTGCCGGCCTCAGTGCGCCAGCTGCAGCGGCCATTGTGGGGTGAACCAACGGCAAAGGAAGACCTTTCTCTCTGTCTCTCTCTCACTGTCTGCTCTGCCTGTCAAAAAAAAAAAAATCTTTTATATTTTGACAAATGTTTCGTGCTTACATAAGATGTTAACGTCAGGGGATTCTAGGGTAAGTGTACACAGAACTCTCTGTACTATCTCTGGAACTTTTCTGTAAACTTAGAATTATCCCAACGTAAGTTCACTTTTAAATATGGACCCATTTGCTATTGTTTTATAACCTGTTTATTCACCCAATAATTTATTAGGTAGTTTTTGTCTTGAAATGATTTCATGATAGTGTACTACTCCACCCTATACATGAATCATAGTCTCCCCTCATGTTGGAAATTTAGGTTGTTTCCAATTCTTAACATGGTACAAAAAAAATGCTCTCTGTGCACCCTTAGTCATTTCCTTAGGATGCGTGAACAAGCTGGAATTGCTGAACCAGAGCTGCTAGCGAGGGATCGCTGAGCCCTGCAGTGTCACCATGCCAGGCACCTGACAGACACGGACTCACCCCGCCCACACGCCAGGAGCATTTAAAGGTTTTCAAAATGTGAGCCAACAAATTCTGCGGCTTTCTGTGTCGGGTGCAAGCACAGCACACAGATCTCATCAGGCTGTCCCGGGCTTCCGTTCTGACCGCAGTGGGGCGGTTCCCGCAGGCGGCCATCGCAGTGGGTCTGTGGAACCTGCGCAGGCACTGCTGGCCTAGGTGTGGTTTCAATACCAGCTCCAGTTGCCTCCTCTCCAACTGCAGAATGTTCCTCATTGAGCTTTGGGCTTGGTGGCTGCCAGGAACCCCTAGAGTCTTGGAAAATCTCCATCTGGCTGGAAAAGTGTTTTTCAAAGTACCAGGGACAATGGTACTTTCTTGACAATGAAAACCATCAAGGCCCTAGAAGACCAGGATTTGTACACACAGAACAGATGGCCCACTTTAGGCTGGGCCCTTGTCCTCCCTCCTGGCTGGCACACCTGTGTTTTGACCATGAATCAGGCGACCTTTGCTGTGGGTGGGGGCGGGGGAGGGCTCTGTCCGTCCTGTTCCCAGCATGTGCCTGGTGCATGGGTTCTGGGAATGACAGATAACCTGTGGTTGGTCTGGGCACTGACAGTGGTTCACTGAATGCCTTGGGAGCGACTTCCCCCCTCTAAGCCACAACGAGCTCATGTCTAAAATGAGGATCATGGGGCCGGCACTGTGGCGTAGTGGGTAAGGCCACTGTCTGCAGCGCTGGCATTCCATATGGAGACCATTTTGAGTCCTGCTGCTCCACTTCCGATCCAGCTCTCTGCTATGGCCTGGGGAAGCAGTGGAAGATGGCCCAAGTCCTTGGGCCCCTGCACCCATGTGGGAGACCTGGAAGAAGCTGCTGGCTTTGGATTGGCACAACTCTGGCCGTTGCGGCCATCTGAGGAGTGAACCAATGGATGGAAGACCACTCTCTCTGTCTCTCTTCTCTGTGTAACCCTTTCAAATAAATAAATAAATCTAGAAATAAAAGAGGATCCACAGCACCCATCTAGAAGGTTGGTGAAATTCACATACATAGAAAAACAGCCACCCAGTCAATGATTCTATCTCCTTTTCCCATGCTCTTCAGGTA